ACATCGTCACCATGACTTTTACACTCCCAACATCGTCACCATGACTATTACACTCCCAACATCATCACCATGACTATTACACTCCCAGCATCGTCACCATGACTATTACACTCCCAACATCGTCACCATGACTATTACACTCCCAACATCGTCACCATAACTATTACACTCCCAACATCATCACCATGACTATTACACTCCCAACATCATCACCATGACTATTACACTCCCAACATCGTCACCATGACTATTACACTCCCAACATCGTCACCATGACTATTACACTCCCAACATCGTCACCATGACTATTACACTCCCAACATCGTCACCATGACTATTACACTCCCAACATCTCCACCATGACTATTACACTCCCAACATCATCACCATGACTATTACACTCCCAACATCGTCACCATGACTATTACACTCCCAACATCGTCACCATGACTATTACACTCCCAACATCGTCACCATGACAAGTTCACTCCCAACATCAACATGACTATTACACTCCCAACATCGTCACCATGACTATTACACTCCCAACATCGTCACCAAGACTATTACACTCCCAACATCATCACCATGACTATTACACTCTCAACATCATCATCATGACTATTACACTCCCAACATCGTCACCATGACTATTACACTCCCAATATCGTCACCATGACTATTACACTCCCAACATCTCCCCATGACTTTTACACTCCCAACATCTCCACCATGACTATTACACTCCCAACATCATCACCATGACTATTACACTCTCAACATCTTCACTATGACTATTACACTCCCAACATCGTCACCATGACTATTACACTCCCAACATCATCACCATGACTATTACACTCCCAACATCATCACCATGACTATTACACTCTCAACATCATCACCATGACTATTACACTCCCAACATCATCACTATGACTATTACACTCCCAACATCATCACCATGACTATTACACTCCCAACATCATCACCATGACTATTACACTCCCAACATCGTCACCATGACTATTACACTCCCAACATCGTCACCATGACTATTACACTCCCAACATCGTCACCATGACTATTACACTCCCAACATCTCCCCATGACTTTTACACTCCCAACATCTCCACCATGACTATTACACTCCCAACATCATCAACATGACTATTACACTCACAACATCTTCACCATGACTATTACACTCCCAACATCTTCACCATGACTATTACACTCCCAACATCATCACAATGACTATTACACTCCCAACATCGTCACCATGACTATTACACTCCCAACATCGTCACCATGACTATTACACTCCCAACATCTCCCCATGACTTTTACACTCCCAACATCTCCACTATGACTATTACACTCCCAACATCATCACCATGACTATTACACTCCCAACATCGTCACCATGACTATTACACTCCCAACATCGTCACCATGACTAGTACACTCCCAACATCTCCCCATGACTTTTACACTCCCAACATCTCCACCATGACTATTACACTCCCAACATCATCAACATGACTATTACACTCCCAACATCTTCACCATGACTATTACACTCCCAACATCTTCACCATGACTATTACACTCCCAACATCATCACCATGACTATTACACTCCCAACATCATCACCATGACTATTACACTCCCAACATCGTCACCATGACTATTACACTCCCAACATCGTCACCATGACTATTACACTCCCAATATCGTCACCATGACTATTACACTCCCAACATCGTCACCATGACAATTACACTCCCAACATCGTCACCATGACTATTACACTCCCAGCATCTCCCCATGACTTTTACACTCCCAACATCTCCACTATGACTATTACACTCCCAACATCATCACCATGACTATTACACTCCCAACATCTTCACCATGACTATTACACTCCCAACATCTTCACCATGACTATTACACTCCCAACATCATCACCATGACTATTACACTCCCAACATCATCACCATGACTATTACACTCCCAACATCGTCACCATGACTATTATACTCCCAACATCGTCACCATGACTATTACACTCCCAACATCTGCACCATGACTATTACACTCCCAACATCGTCACCATGACTATTACACTCCCAACATCGTCACCATGACAATTACACTCCCAACATCGTCACCATGACTATTACACTCCCAACATCATCACCATGACTATTACACTCCCAACATCGTCACCATGACTATTACACTCCCAACATCGTCACCATGACTATTACACTCCCAACATCGTCACCATGACTATTACACTCCCAACATCGTCACCATGACTATTACACTCCCAACATCGTCTCCATGACTATTACACTCCCAACATCGTCACCATGACTATTACACTCCCAACATCGTCACCATGACTATTACACTCCCAACATCTTCACCATGACTATTACACTCCCAACATCATCACCATGACTATTACACTCCCAACATCAACACCATGACTATTACACTCCCAACATCGTCACCATGACTATTACACTCTCAACATCGTCACCATGACTATTACACTCCCAACATCGTCACCAAGACTATTACACTCCCAACATCATCACCATGACTATTACACTCTCAACATCATCATCATGACTAGTACACTCCCAACATCATCATCATGACTATTGCACTCCCAACATCGTCACCATGACTATTACACTCCCAACATCGTCACCATGACTATTACACTCCCAACATCTCCCCATGACTTTTACACTCCCAACATCTCCACCATGACTATTACACTCCCAACATCATCACCATGACTATTACACTCCCAACATCTTCACCATGACTATTACACTCCCAACATCGTCACCATGACTATTACACTCCCAACATCGTCACCATGACTTTTACACTCCCAACATCGCCACCATGACTATTACACTTCCAACATCGTCACCATGACTATTACACTCCCAACATCGTCACCATGACTATTACACTCCCAACATCTCCCCATGACTTTTACACTCCCAACATCTCCACCATGACTATTACACTCCCAACATCATCACCATGACTATTACACTCCCAACATCTTCACCATGACTATTACACTCCCAACATCTTCACCATGACTATTACACTCCCAACATCATCACCATGACTATTACACTCCCAACATCGTCACCATGACTATTACACTCCCAACATCATCACCATGACTATTACACTCCGAACATCATCACCATGACTATTACACTCCCAACATCGTCACCATGACTATTACACTCCCAACATCGTCACCATGACTATTACACTCCCAACATCTCCCCATGACTTTTACACTCCCAACATCTCCACCATGACTATTACACTCCTAACATCGTCACCATGACTATTACACTCCCAAAATCGTCACCATGACAATTACACTCCCAACATCGTCACCATGACTATTACACTCCCAACATCATCACCATGACTATTACACTCCCAACATCGTCACCATGACTATTACACTCCCAACATCGTCACCATGACAATTACACTCCCAACATCGTCACCATGACTATTACACTCCCAACATCATCACCATGACTATTACACTCCCAACATCGTCACCATGACTATTACACTCCCAACATCGTCACCATGACTTTTACACTCCCAACATCGTCACCATGACTATTACACTCCCAACATCATCACCATGACTATTACACTCCCAACATCGTCACCATGACTATTACACTCCCAACATCGTCACCATGACTATTACACTCCCAACATCTCCCCATGACTTTTACACTCCCAACATCTCCACCATGACTATTACACTCCTAACATCGTCACCATGACTATTACACTCCCAAAATCGTCACCATGACAATTACACTCCCAACATCGTCACCATGACTATTACACTCCCAACATCATCACCATGACTATTACACTCCCAACATCGTCACCATGACTATTACACTCCCAACATCGTCACCATGACAATTACACTCCCAACATCGTCACCATGACTATTACACTCCCAACATCATCACCATGACTATTACACTCCCAACATCGTCACCATGACTATTACACTCCCAACATCGTCACCATGACTTTTACACTCCCAACATCGTCACCATGACTATTACACTCCCAACATCATCACCATGACTATTACACTCCCAACATCGTCACCATGACTATTACACTCCCAACATCGTCACCATGACTATTACACTCCCAACATCGTCACCATAACTATTACACTCCCAACATCATCACCATGACTATTACACTCCCAACATCGTCACCATGACTATTACACTCCCAACATCGTCACCATGACTATTACACTCCCAACATCGTCACCATGACTATTACACTCCCAACATCGTCACCATGACTATTACACTCCCAACATCTAACTCTTGACAACACCATTGCCAGCAGTGCCAACATCTTCACTGCTCAGTGACTATCATCTTGACACTTTCTCACAATAAATCTTTTTCTTAACTACTTCTTGGTATTTTTATCTTCAGTATTTCACTCGCAGCTTCGTCATGAGTACTTTAATCATCATCACCATGACAAACATGAGGGTTGGGTTATTATAAGACTATAGCACCTTCCTTCACTCATACACTACTCTTATTTTCCCCCCTCACTCTACTCTTTCTACCCTAAAAAAGTGCCCAATTGCTTCGACTGGACGGTATTGAGACAGTCTCGCTTCTTACAGGTCGGCTTCAACTCCCAATCTCTGTAAACCATTCCTTTCCTCCATTCAATCCTAGTTACTTGTCACCCGTATCCTTTGTAAGTATAAGGTCGAAATGGCTGTATAGACGGAATGATTTAGTGGTTTCTCCTGATAATTACCTTACTTTACACTACAAACACTATCACCTTGACTAAATATTCACCATCTGGGATATTTACCTGAGCCTCACTGAGTCCTTCTGGACTCTTTACTTAGACCTCAGTCAAGGATGGATGAGTCTGGCAGGAACCCAGACTTGCCTGAGGGTTATGGAGAAGGGGTCCCGCCTTGGCTCATAGGTCATGATGGAGGATATGAGGCAGGGTCAGGTGTGAAACGCAGGTATGCAGAGGTTGTTCCCCCGGGGTCACATGACCCACGTATCAAGCGAGCCAGGCAGGGAGTGGTGGGTTCAGTGCCCAGTGCTCTCGCAGAGAAGCTCGCACGCATGAAGACCAAGCTTCAGAAGGTGGAGAAGAACCCACGGAAGAAAGAACACCGGCAGAACCACGAAGAACAACGGCAGGCAGAAGTGAAGCAGGGACAAGAAAAAGATAAGCAGCATGGGCAAGAAAAAGATAAACAGCACGGACAAGAAAAAGATAAACAGCATGGACAAGAAAAAGAGAAAAAGCATAAAAAGCAGGAAAATAATAAAGAACGAAAACAGGAAAATGAACTAAAAACGAAAAAAAATAAATTAACGAAAAGACATTTTTATATTAAAAATCATTGAAGTTATTACTAGGGTTAAATAAAATATTTTATCTGAGTTATTTAACTGTTGTTTCCTTATCCTTTGATTTTTGAAGCTGAAAATGAAATGTGTAACAATTTAACAATGTCCTAATATTATTGTTTTGGTCAAGAAATGGTTACGTTGGAGTGTAGTAAAGATGGTTACAGTTATTATGTTTGTACCTAATATAGGTCCAGTAATGAAAACTGTACAGTTAGGATGGTTACAGTGATGCCTGCTGTTTGTAGTAAAGATGGTTACAGTGGTGAAGGTTGTGTGTAGTAAAGATGGTTACAGTGATGAAGGTTGTGTGTAGTAATGATGGTTACAGTGATGAAGGTTGAGTGTAGTAAAGATGGTTACAGTGATGAAGGTTGTGTGTAGTAAAGATGGTTACAGTGACGAAGGTTGTGTGTAGTAATGATGGTTACAGTGACGAAGGTTGTGTGTAGTAAAGATGGTTACAGTGATGAAGGATGTGTGTAGTAATGATGGTTACAGTGATGAAGGTTGTGTGTAGTAAAGATGGTTACAGTGATGCCGGTTTTGTATAGTAAAGATGGTTACAGTGATGAAGGTTGTGTGTAGTAAAGATGGTTACAGTGGTGAAGGTTGTGTGTAGTAAAGATGGTTACAGTGATGAAGGTTGTGTGTAGTAAACATGGTTACAGTGATGCCGGTTGTGTATAGTAAAGATGGTTACAGTGATGCCGGTTGTGTATAGTAAAGATGGTTACAGTGATGAAGGTTGTGTGTAGTAAAGATGGTTACAATGGTGAAGGTTGTGTATAGTAAAGATGGTTACAGTGATGAAGGTTGTGTGTAGTAAAGATGGTTACAGTGATGCCGGTTGTGTATAGTAAAGATGGTTATAGTGATGAAGGTTGTGTGTAGTAAAGATGGTTACAGTGAAGGTTGTGTGTAGTAAAGATGGTTACAGTGGTGAAGGTTGTGTGTAGTAAAGATGGTTACAGTGAAGGTTGTGTGTAGTAAAGATGGTTACAGTGGTGAAGGTTGTGTGTAGTAAAGATGGTTACAGTGAAGGTTGTGCGTAGTAAAGATGGTTACAGTGATGAAGGTTGTGTGTAGTAAAGATGGTTACAGTGGTGAATGTTGTGTGTAGTAAAGATGGTTACAGTGATGAAGGTTGTGTGTAGTAAAGATGGTTACAGTGGTGAGGGTTGTGTGTAGTAAAGGTGGTTACAGTGGTGAATGTTGAGTGTAGTAAAGATGGTTACAGTGAAGGTTGTGTGTAGTAAAGATGGTTACAGTGATGAAAGCTGTTTGTTTTAAAGGTTACAGCAACGAGAACTACAGTCCCATCATCATCACCATGGCACTTATATTCCCAGCATCATCATCATGACACTTACAGCCATGCCACTTACAGGCATGATATACTTACACTTACTCCATCACTGGTCTAGCATCGTGTGAAATAGAGGTAATGCAATATATATTTAACCAGTGAATGTTTTGTTCATGTATACTCAACCCGTCCTCTTAAAAATAACGTCACTTTTCGCTCGTATGCGCGCTATGGCCAAATTTGGACGTAATTTGAAATGAAATCGACTCACAAAAGTGACGTACTGTTCCGTTTTCTGTTTGAGTCGTCCGGCTTACTCGCTAAGGTTAGGAGAGGAAACATTAAATTAACGTTTTTCATAACGTTTTGAAACTTTATGAGAATTTTCTGCCCACCTAACCTACCAGAGGACCCTAAACTTACTGTTGTTAAAAAAAAAATCCCAAATTTATTTTATATTTTTTTCATTTTCATATTACATCCACTTTCGGCCATACGGGTAAACGGCCAAAAGTGACGCTATTTTTAAGAGGACAATTTGAGAATGTGTAGGTTGTCACCTTCACATCTTCTCACACACTTCACTCCTGCTGTTCATTATTCCCCCGCCAAAAACACATGTTTACAAATCCCCGCCATGTTCATCCCGAGCGCAGACGCGACGCAAGTTCAGGTGATCACAGGCACGGTTGTGTGGCCGCCTCACCAAGCTGTTCCGGTGCACGTTTGAATCAATCGAATTGTAAGACAATTGAACGACCACTCCCATATTGGATCTTGCTTGGAAAAAGTTGTTTTAGTTGTTGGCCTCCACCGTTGTTGGCCTCCACCGTTGTTGGCCTCCACCGTTGTTGGCCTCCACCGTTGTTGGCCTCCACAGTTGTTGGCCTCCACCGTTGTTGGCATTCACTGTTGTTGGCCTCCACCATTGTTGGCCTCCACAGTTGTTGGCCTCCACCGTTGTTGGCATTCACTGTTGTTGGCCTCTACCGCTGTTGGCCTCCACCGTTGTTGGCTTCCACCGATGTTGGCCTCCACCGTTGTTGGCTTCCACCGATGTTGGCCTCCACCGATGTTGGCCTCCACCGTCCCTCTGTTTTTCTCAGTCTGGTGTTGACATCGGCTTTGATCGGTCAAAACTTTCATCCTATTTCTCAGAGGATTTTCAGCATACAAATGATCAGTGTTTCTTGATCATCATATATATATATATATATATATATATATATATATATATATATATATATATATATATATATATATATATATATATATATATGTCGTACCTAGTAGCCAGAACGCACTTCTCAGCCTGCTATGCATGGCCCTATTTGCCTAATAAGCCAAGTTTTCCTGAATTAATATATTTTCTCTAATTTTTTTCTTATGAAATGATAAAGCTACCCATTTTATTATGTATGAGGTCAATTTTTTTTTATTGGAGTTAAAATTAACGTAGATATATGACCGAACCTAACCAACCCTACCTAACCTAACCTAACCTATCTTTATAGGTTAGGTTAGGTTAGGTAGCCGAAAATGTGAGGTTAGGTTAGGTTAGGTAGGTTAGATAGTCGAAAAAGCATTAGTTCATGAAAACTTGGCTTATTAGGCAAATCGGGCCTTGCATAGTAGACTGAGAGGTGCATTCTGGCTACTAGGTACGACATGTATATATATATATATATATATATATATATATATATATATATATATATATATATATATATATATATATATATATATATATATATATATATATATATATGTATATATATATATATATATATATATATATATATATATATATATATATATATATATATATATATATATATATATATATATATATATATATATATATATATATATATATATATATATATATATATATATATATATATATATTGACGGTAAAGCGTTGGTGTTCGGCTGTTTCAAAAGCTGGGGGCAGGGCCTCGTCACATCACAAAAAAAAAGAGAAAAGTTTGCCCTTTCGTCTGTGGTAAGGTAATGGGAAGACACACAAAACACAAGTATATAAATAATGAAATTTTAATTACTCTAGAAAACAAGACATGAATAAAGACAATCTCATAAATTCAACACTGGTCAACAAACAAAATAACATGAATAATAACTGGCAATGAAAAGTTACTCTAAGACCAGAATGCAAAAATAATGATAGCAATATAAATTAATATGTGCGGTGCTGGAATACTGGCTTCAAGCTGCCACCTCCCTTAGTACACGAAAGCCATGGCTTAGTCTACTAGCGAGAGATGTCAACTCCAAGGAGCACAAAGATATTCTGACGAGTATGGTGTGCTGCTGCCCAGACGTCGACTCTCGGTGGTGGTGGTGAGTGCAGGTGCGGCGAGACACCAGCCAATCAGCAACAGGCAGGCGGAGGATAAGCAGTTTGCTGGTTACGGCGGCTGTAGCAGGTGTCGGGGTGTGCATGGTACGATTTGCTTCCTGGGCAAAACGTTTGGCGATACTGGTGGACGTATCTTCTATATAGTATCTTGTACTTTACAACGTAATGATGTAGGGAAGAGCTATATATATATATATATATATATATATATATATATATATATATATATATATATATATATATATATATATATATATATATATATATATATATATATATATATATAGTTATATATATATATAGCTCTATATATATATAACTGAAAACTCACACCCAGAAGTGACTCGAACCCATACTCCCAGGAGCAACACAATGTAACGGGGGGTGGGGGAAATCGCTCTATCTTGTCCATTATTCCACCCCCCAGTTAACTAACGAGGCCGGGGGAAACAGCTCTCTCTAGTCCGTTATCCCGTCCCCAGTTAGCTAACTATTCTAGAGCACCTCCAGAGTTCCTAAGGCAACCTCTCTGGTTCCACACCTTGTAACCTAGGTATTTGACTACCTAGGTGCTAAGACTACAAGGCGCCGTAACTGGATCAGCTACCCGAAACTCTAGAGAGAACTCTAGAATACGAAATCATTGCCACAACGTATAAGAGAAAACGAAAGGAAAGAAATGAATAGTGAAGTAATTAGTGAGGGTTTGGGGTGAGAGGGAGAGAGGTGGGAGGAGCGAGGAGGGTCATTAGTTGAAAGTGAGAGTTTAGAGAGGGGTGGAGGGAGAGGTGTAGATAGGTAGAAGTAGAAGAGTAGATAGTAGAAGTAGAAGAGTTGATAGTAGAAGACGAAATGCTGCCACCATCCATTCATGATCATTACATACAAGACAAGGAATGGAACTTGTCTGTATCAAAATATTCACCAAAGATGTTATCATGAGTTCATTATTAGTAGTTCCCATCTTTATCATGTACTCATTCTAAACCATGAAACCAGTAACCACAGAGGCTTTCTCACCTCAACTCAAATCTCTAGGGAACAAAGTTAAACACAATTTAAATAATAAATTCATAATTATATTTCCCATGAAGTATCATAATTTAGCAATTAAATTAAAATGTTAAAGAGAGTCATCATCCAAGAATTCGAGAACCCTACAACTTGACTGCCCCTGATCATCACACAACATATGTAAACACGACCAAGTCACCTTAATGTTCACTCACCGAGGACTGAGTCTAAGTTGAATAGAGAGGGGGGGGTCTGCAATTTTCAGGCAGCGTCACCCCCCGTCTGGTGACGGCC